TAGGGTCGACGAGATAACTCTCCAATCGACTTAATTAGGACAAAAGTACTGAGACAGGATGATGTCGCGCCCCATTTTTTGATAAATAAATAAATGGTTTAAAAAATGTATTTTTTGATTCAATTTTGTGTTTGAAAAATGAATTGTGATTTAAAAGAAAAGTGGGTCTAAATGGGGGTTTGAAAATGCGACGATTTGACCCAAAATTATAGTTTAAAAAGGGTTTTTGAAAAAATGGGAGTCGCCACTTGGTAATGAGTTAAGGTGTACCAAGTCACCTAAAAATGAGTTTTTTAGGAAAAAGTTGTAAGAAACCCCTTTTAAATGACTCCTAGTCCACGTAAACCAATGAAAAAGGTTCGGGAGTCACATTTGACGAAGGGGAAGGCAAGGATAAAAATCCAAGGCACCCCTTCGACCTAACCAAGGCTAGTTGCATGATTTAATCAAAGTTTTTCTTATTTTAACCAAAGAATTTATTACATTTGGATGCACTACATGAATGCAAAAGGAAAGAAAAAATGCAAATCTAAATTCTAAAATGTCTCTTGTAAGGTTTTTGGTCCCAACCACATGAATTGTGGCGGCCAATAAAGGAAAACCTTATAGAGGTCGATTAATGCAAATGATGGCTAAAGTGCAAGTGTGCAAGTGTATAAAAAGGTGCACGTGTGAAATTGTAAAAAATCCAAGTGTTTGTGTGCCAGTGTATGGAAAGGTGCATGTGTGAATTTGTATGAAAAATCCAAGTGTTTGTGTGCAAGTGTATAAAATATAGTGAAAAGTGCATATAGGTGTAATTAAGTGCAATTTTGTGAAGTAGAAATCAAAATGAACAATAAGGAAAGGAAAAGTGATGAGGAAATGTGAATTGAAAAAAATGAGTAAGTGATAAATGAGAATGAATGAACCTAAAGGAATGCATCAGGTCGGGTGTGGGAATGACTCCTAACTTTTTCGACTTCGATTTTCCCTTTGATTAGAAAGCAAAACTAGCGTGCTAAGGCTATCGAGTAGCCACACTCGCTCGTTTCCCTTATCAGAAGGGGACTCTTCAGGCAAATGTACCCTAACTAGCATGAGATGCAAGACCTAAAGTGAGGGGAAAGGGGCTTAGAGGGACATGCCAAATGATAGAAAAACTAAAAGAATGCATGATATGTAATGAACATGCAAACATGTACTAACGAGGGGAAATCCCTAAGGGTCTAGCGTTGGACTAGCCCATTCTATGAATTCCGACTAGCGTTGGACTAGTGGAAACGTTCATTCATCCATCACATTCATTCAAGCTATGGAAAGCGAGTAGACATGTCAAACACTTATAAACACATAGCACATAACATTTAGCATGCTCGACTAGATGCAAGGCCCTAAAAAGCAAATTAACACGTAGTAACTAAGCATGCAAGACACATAAGACAATTAAATCCCTAACTATTACATTTGCTAGCTAGGCACATAACTTCGACAGGTCTTCATCGAATGCTCCTCCAAGCCCTATCTATTACAAGCCAAGAGGTGTACACATACCCCATAAAGAATAACTTAATGAAAATAAAAGTAAATGACATAAGTAAAAGGAATTAAGGAAAAACTAGGAAAGCAAAGTAGGCATGCAATTCACTTAACACGTTGGGTCACATAGGAGAGAAACAAAAGGGATAAAAGAAATTATACCGCCCCTTTGAATGGTGTCCAAATGAAAGAAAAATGGCTTCAAAACAATAAAAAGGTCAAGGTACCTCAAATAGTAAAGTATAACAAAGTCACAAAATCTCTCCTAATTACAATTTAAATGAAATCAAATAATGCATAAGTTTCAAGAAAAGGACCCACCAAGGACCCAATTACCAACTAAAGACCCAATTGCAAACCTTAGTCAACCATTCGAATTCAATCGAAACATTTAAGCACTCCAAAGGTCTCAAGAGCCAAGAAAAGGTCAAACAACCAATTTATTTAGGGAAATTAAAAAATAGGCAAACACGAGCTCATTCGGTCATAAAACCCCTAAAGTCATGACTTAAGTGCAATTGACAAAGCATGGTAGTTAACTGAAACAAAACAAGCCATGAAGTTGCACAAATTAAAATTGCCAAGGACCAAATTGATGAAATTATTTAATTGATTGGGTTCTAATGGAACAAGGAGAGACTTGGGGGGCCAAAGTGCAAATTTTTGAAAGTTCCATGCATGCAAATCACGTAGAAGAAGAATTTCTGCAACAAACAATTTCTGCAATGCCAAACCAGCTGCACTTCCTCATAATTTGTGACTCTAACAAGCAAAATCATTCCAATCTTCTAGCATAACTTGCCAACATCAACTCAGTCAGCTAGTGTTTGTTAAACAGAAATTCTGGAGCAAAAATGTGCAAAGAAAGAAAAGAAAACAACGAGAGGATGCGGAAACATTTCTGCAATAGCGGACCGGCCAAGCTGACTGCAATTTTCCATTCCAATCAAACTCATTGACATGGAACAACTCTAACCAAGACTAACACCCAATCATCAACCAAACCAAATACTCCATCTTTATCGCAGAATCAAGGCAGAAAAAACTGGAATGATAACTGTTGGGAAAATAAGAAGCAAAACAAAACAAAATGCAGCAAGAATTTTTCTTTGCAATCTAAGATGATTAATAAACCATGCAGCAACTTCCCTTCCGCAACTACATATCGACTTCAACACAAGTTTGATCAAAACCTTTTAAACAAACATCAAAACAAACTTGAGCTAAGCAACGTAATCCATAATTTCAGCATCCAAGCAAACAAAACATAGAAAAGAGATCATGTGAATGCTGGGAAATTCTGTGCAAAATGGTTCAGCAAACCTGGCTTGTTTTCTTCCAGCAAGCAACTACATTTCAGCCCCTAAACATACACACCCAACACCCCTTATCTAATCCCTTCCAACTAGTACTCCAACACCCCAAACATGCAAACCCAGCTAGCAAAATAGATGACCGAAACTGCAGGTAAGAAACGGCAAAGGGAATGCGGCAGCTTCAAGTTCACGTAGCTGAAGTGACGAAAACATTGTACAAGATTCACCCTATTGCAACAATGCATCCTTTATAATCTTTCGACTATCTTATACATGGACATCACAATCCAAATACTAAATGCAGAACAAAGACAGGTCACAGCAAAAATAACAAATTCACGAAGCTTTGAAACTCCAACAACTTTATACGGTCAGTTTGGATACTAAAATCAAACCAGGCTCATTGACCCAAATGCATTGAACTTCTAAAACCCAATACGACAGGTAAGAAACGAACATTCAAATCATACACATTTAGTTCCATGGCAGGAAAACCATATGGAAGTTGACAGTTTTTGGCTTTATAAGCCTCCAATCACACCAATTCCAAAACGTAGCCATTCAAAGTTATAAGTTATCATGACCAACCGGAAAAAAACAAGGCAGTATGCTAACCCAGATACCAGCCATGATATCAAACAAAGAAAACTACGCTCCTATCTAAAGGATTTGCTTTCATACAAATGAACAAGAGGGGCTGGATAGTTACCTTTCTCTGCCTTAAAGACTCGAAAGGGCGGTAGAAATCACCGAGCAGAATGAGTGATGCAACTGCTTCAAATATCAAACAGCCCAGGTTGTAGATTTTAGTAAGAAACTATGAAGGTCTGACCTTCGATAAGGATTCACCAGATTTTCAAAAATGTGACTTGCTATTTCCTTCTCTCCCTGCTCAGATTTCTTTTCTCTCAGTCCAAAGACCACAGCTTTCCGTGCCGTCTCCTTTCTCTGTCGTTCTTTCTCTCGGTTTTCTTTTCTAGCCCTCTCCTCGGTGTCTCTCTCTTTCACTCTCAATCTCCCAGTCTCGATTTCGCTCTTCTCATTTCCTTTTCCAGCCCCCCTTAGCCGTTGCAAACTTCTCAGCCGCGGCTCCAAAACCTCTGATTCTATGATTCCCTTTTTTTTCTTTCGCTGTTTCTTTTTTCTGGTTCTCTTCCTCTTTTCCCCGTCAATCCCCCCCTTAACTCTCTCTCCTCCTTGCGGCTGCCCTTTTCCTTGGCTTTTTATAGGTTAGAAAACCTAGAAACCTAGCTACCCTCTTCAACCATTTGCAGCCGAAACCCCTCAGGCCCTTCTGTGCAAACTGCGCTTGCAGCTTGCCGCGACTGGAAAGTGTTTTTTTTTTCTTTTCTTTTCTTTTTTTTAATAATTAAAACAATATTGATAATAATAATAAAAATAAAAATAAATAACAAAATAATTTAATTAACCTTGCATAAAACAAATAAACTAGAAACAACAAAGTATAAAATCCAAAATTTTTTTTTCATTTTCCATTTTCATCATTTTTTCTCTTTTCTTTTTTTTTTCTTTTCTAAATGAACCAAACAAAAATAAAAGATAAATTAAGTAGAAATGACTAAAATAGATAAATAAAACCAAATAAAACAAAAAATTGCTATTTTTCCTTTTCCTTTTTTTCCTTCTTTCTTTTTTTTTTGATTTTTCTTTTTTCCTCTTTTTTCATGATTTTTCCTTTCTTTTTTTTTCATTTTTCATTTTTCATGATTTTTCTTTTTTCATTTTCGTGATTTTCCTTTTTTTCATTTTTTTGTGATTTTCTATGCTATAACTTAAAAATAAACTAAAAACTATAAACTAAAAACTAAAAATCGAATAAAACTAACACGACAAATAAAAAACTAAAAATAAACAGTAAATGAAATTACACAAAAAAAAATTTGGTGTCTACAGATGAGAGGCACCTCCCACTTAAATTGAGTGTGGTACATGCTGCCGCTCTGCACTTACAAGTCGAGTACAAGCACAACCACAAGTACAGGTCAATCAAGTACAAGACAATTCAAGAAGGGGAGGACGAGTGCGATAAAGTACACTCTCGTCTCATCAAGTTCAGAATTCAACACATAACACGTGTATCAGTCAAATTGAGATATCAAGAAACATACACTTGACACTCACCAGTTTAAGTAAAATAATGTCAAAAGTTCGCCCCTCGGATTATGCCCTTGATCACCAACAAACTTTAAGAACAACCAAGATAAAGTATTATAGTTCAACCATTCAAAGTTTTGGTGAATCAAAGAAAATCCAAACAACTACTCAAGGGACATGAGTAACCAAGAATTTCCTCATTCCAATCATAAAATCAAACTCAAAATGGTTTAACAACTCCAACTTAAGTTGGAAATGAGAGTAAGGACAGTTTCAGGAAAATAGAATTTTTCCCAGTTTTACACGATGTTATTTGAAAACTCATAACTCAAGTTTCTTAAGTCCAAAATTTATAAACTTTATACCGTTGGAAAATAGATTCAAAGGATTAAAATTTCTCAGAAGAGACCTTTGCAAGATTCTATCCACAATTCAGTCAAAATCCAATCTCAAACAGCTGTTTTATCCAGTAGAAAGATAGAACAGGAATGAAAATTCAGTCAACTTTGGAAAATCACAGATATTCATAAAAATTAGAAAAAATTATAAAATTTTCACGGTAGAAAGTACTTTGAATCTACTTTCAAACGCAACAACCAGAACTTAATTTGAATTTTTCTACACCAAGATATGATAGATTTTCCAAGACTACTCAAAGTCTCTTGCGAGAAAAATTTTCTACAGCACTTCCCCTTATTTTTCCTAATTTCCAGCCATTTTCAAGACTTCATTCTCACTACAAAATAGCCTCAAATCAAGCATTTACATACAGGCCAACAACTCACTAAATCAAGCATATACATAGCATATAACCATCACCTACTCAAGTTCGAAAAATTAAACCCTATGCTAAAATTCATAATCACAAGTTAAAAATTTCTATTATAAGCCAAACAAGCATTCGAAAGCTGGAAAATCATATGCTAATGTTAATAAATCATAACACAATTGAAATGAACTCATCAAAGCTGGAAATCCTGAGTCAAATCTGGAAATTTTGATCCATCACATGAACCATGAAATGTTTCATGAATACCACCATAATTTAACCCTTAAATCCACTCAAAAGCAAGTTAAATGATGAGAGATGGTTTCTAGACTTTGTTACCTTGAAATCGAAAGAAGACCAAGCTACCACAAGCTTTTTCCTCCAAAAAGTCTCCACCAAAGTTCCTCCTGCAGCCTCAAATTCTGCTTTTATGGATTGATTTGCAAGGTTAAGGTGAAAACTCAAGAATCAAGCAAGTTTTTTTGTGTTGGAAATGGAGTTTTCTTTCTTTCTTTTCTTGCTTATGATGGTCAGTCAAGAGAGGGGAGAAGATGATAGGATTTTTGGCCAATTTTTGGTTAATAAAAGGTTAAGAAAGGTCTTAGTCAAAGTCAATGGTCCAAGGCATTTGTGACAAATGGTTTGCCATGGTTAATCCTCTTCCTATTGTTTTCCAATCACTAAAATATCTACCCAACCTCTAATTATCCCATAACGCCTTATAAAATAATATCCCTTTGCACAAAACTCCTCCTAATGTTAAAAAATTTATCATACATACCGCGTTAGTGGGTCTTACTGCCATAATGCACTACGAATTTAACATTCACTAACTTATACATAGAAAATGATTTAAAACTGGACTCACTTATAAGAATATATGAGAAATTAAGGAAATAAAGTAAAATAAAGAAAATGTACTCAAAAAAATAAGATAAAATAAAATAATTTTCGAATCCTCACACAAATAGGTTGATAAGAGCTCAAACAAATTAGATCGAGTGTGATAAAGTACACACTCGCCTTTTCAATATCAAGTCAAGATATCTAGCAATCTCAACAAGTCACATGAAGTATCACATTGTCCTCATCATGCAGTTGGAACAATCACCCATATAATGAAAACTTCACATTTCAGTACCAGGCTCACGTTCTCACCTGCTTTCAAGTCCTGAGACCAAACGAGTATATCAAAAGTTCACAATTTCAAACTACCACATTTGAGACATATCAACTTCCAAAACTCGTTCAAAAGAGCATAAGATTTTCATGTTCGAAACAAGGGTAAAACTACGTGCAAGTTTGATCAATAGTTGTTAGTGGTATACGAAGCAAAAGAGATCGAATATAGCCAAGGGATTTAAAGAAAATTGGATAAAATTTCATCCCTTTCTCGATTCCAAAACTTGAAGTGTACCATCAAGAAAAGGAGTTTGAAAGGTGAGTTTCTTTCCACTTAAAACACTTGGTTTCTGCTCAACAAATCACACATATATGTGAGAGTAAAGTCTTATACAATATATAGAACAAATTTGTCCAAGGTCACCATGAAATTTTGAAAATAGACACGAAAATCCTTTCTTTCTCTTCTTCGGCCAAACACAATTTCTAGCCAACACTTTCAAAACTTTTGTTAAGATCCAGCTTGTTACTTGTTCAAAATACCAAACTCATAATATCTTTCACATCCAACCTAGAAAGAAACATATAGCATAAGTTGTTAGCAAAGAAATCCATCAATCTCACAAATATACAATCATAATCAAAGCTATTTATCATGAGTTTAAAATCATGAATTTTCAGCAAGGAAAGTTGAAATTCGTAGCGCTCGAGAACCTTTGAAATTGGAAGTTTTTGGCAAGTATCATTCCTTTGAAAAATCATAACTTAAGTTATAAATGTCAAAAAATCATACAACTTACCCCGTTAAAAACTAGACTTGAAGCACTAAGAATCTTTAGAACACACCTCAAAGAGATTCAGTTCATAAATTGGTCCAAATTGAGTCGCAAGCTACTACAACATTCTAGTTTTTACTTGTGCAGGACAGAATTTTTAGTTAACTTTGCCAACTTTTTGGTGTATATATAAAATGAACCACAGTTCAAATTTTATACTGTTAGAAAGCTCTTTGAGTCAAGTTTCAAACGTGTATACACCAAATTTTTTATTTTAAACTTTATTTATTTAATTAATTTAATTTTAGCTTTATTCATTTCAATTTTAGGTTTTATTTTATTTTATTTAAGGTTAAAAGCATTTTTTTTATCTACTAAATTTCAGAAAAAGGAAAAAAGAAAAGAGAAAAAACAAGAAAAAGGAAAAAAAAAGACAGGTCACCCTATTGCAACAATGCATCCTTTATAATCTTTCGACTATCTTATACATGGACATCACAATCCAAATACTAAATGCAGAACAAAGACAGGTCACAGCAAAAATAACAAATTCACGAAGCTTTGAAACTCCAACAACTTTATACGGTCAGTTTGGATACTAAAATCAAACCAGGCTCATTGACCCAAATGCATTGAACTTCTAAAACCCAATACGACAGGTAAGAAACGAACATTCAAATCATACACATTTAGTTCCATGGCAGGAAAACCATATGGAAGTTGACAGTTTTTGGCTTTATAAGCCTCCAATCACACCAATTCCAAAACGTAGCCATTCAAAGTTATAAGTTATCATGACCAACCGGAAAAAAACAAGGCAGTATGCTAACCCAGATACCAGCCATGATATCAAACAAAGAAAACTACGCTCCTATCTAAAGGATTTGCTTTCATACAAATGAACAAGAGGGGCTGGATAGTTACCTTTCTCTGCCTTAAAGACTCGAAAGGGCGGTAGAAATCACCGAGCAGAATGAGTGATGCAACTGCTTCAAATATCAAACAGCCCAGGTTGTAGATTTTAGTAAGAAACTATGAAGGTCTGACCTTCGATAAGGATTCACCAGATTTTCAAAAATGTGACTTGCTATTTCCTTCTCTCCCTGCTCAGATTTCTTTTCTCTCAGTCCAAAGACCACAGCTTTCCGTGCCGTCTCCTTTCTCTGTCGTTCTTTCTCTCGGTTTTCTTTTCTAGCCCTCTCCTCGGTGTCTCTCTCTTTCACTCTCAATCTCCCAGTCTCGATTTCGCTCTTCTCATTTCCTTTTCCAGCCCCCCTTAGCCGTTGCAAACTTCTCAGCCGCGGCTCCAAAACCTCTGATTCTATGATTCCCTTTTTTTCTTTTGCTGTTTCTTTTTTCTGGTTCTCTTCCTCTTTTCCCCGTCAATCCCCCCCTTAACTCTCTCTCCTCCTTGCGGCTGCCCTTTTCCTTGGCTTTTTATAGGTTAGAAAACCTAGAAACCTAGCTACCCTCTTCAACCATTTGCAGCCGAAACCCCTCAGGCCCTTCTGTGCAAACTGCGCTTGCAGCTTGCCGCGACTGGAAAGTGTTTTTTTTTTTCTTTTCTTTTCTTTTTTTTAATAATTAAAACAATATTGATAATAATAATAAAAAAAAAATAAATAACAAAATAATTTAATTAACCTTGCATAAAACAAATAAACTAGAAACAACAAAGTATAAAATCCAAAATTTTTTTTTCATTTTCCATTTTCATCATTTTTTCTCTTTTCTTTTTTTTTTCTTTTCTAAATGAACCAAACAAAAATAAAAGATAAATTAAGTAGAAATGACTAAAATAGATAAATAAAACCAAATAAAACAAAAAATTGCTATTTTTCCTTTTCCTTTTTTTCCTTCTTTCTTTTTTTTTTGATTTTTCTTTTTTCCTCTTTTTTCATGATTTTTCCTTTCTTTTTTTTTCATTTTTCATGATTTTTCTTTTTTCATTTTCGTGATTTTCCTTTTTTTCATTTTTTGTGATTTTCTATGCTATAACTTAAAAATAAACTATAAACTATAAACTAAAAACTAAAAATTGAATAAAACTAACACGACAAATAAAAAACTAAAAATAAACAGTAAATGAAATTACACAAAAAAAAATTTGGCGTCTACAGTTTGCCCCTCTTTGTCTGAGTTTTGAAAAAACTTGAGACAAAGAAGTAGACACCAAATATTTACCTGTGTTATTCGGCTACGAGCGTCTCGAACGATGGACGCTTTAGAAATGGGGACTGACCCCTTTGACAAAATTTAAAATGGGATTGACCCAAACAGAAAATTTAAAATCGGGACTGACCCGAACAGAAATTTAAAATTGGGATAGATCCACGGGATAGACTCGAACAGAAATTTAAAATTGGGATAGACCCACGGGATAGACCCGAACAGAAATTTAAAATTGGGATAGACCCGAACAGAAATGTAAGATTGGGATAGACCCACGGGATAGATCCGGACAGAAATGTAAAATTGGGATAAACCCGAACAGAAATGTAAAATTGGGATAGACCCACGGGATGTTGTGAAGTTGGCGGCACGAAATCCAGACCCAACGGGATCTTGTGAAGTTGGCGGCACGAAATTCAGGCCCAACGTGAACTTTGCGATGTTGGCGGCACAAAATCCAGGCCCAACGTGATATTGTGAATGTTGGCGGCACAAAATCCAGGCCCAACGTGATGTTTGAGATGTTGGCGGCACCAAGTCCAGGCCCAACTTGATATTTGGAATGTTGGCGGCACGAAATCCAGGCCCAATGTGATGTTTGGAATGTTGGTGGCACCAAGTCCAAGCCCAATATGATTTTTGGAATGTTGGCGGCACCAAGTCCAAGCCCAACGTGATTTTTTGGAATGTTGGCGGCACGAAATCCAGGTCCAACTTGATGTTTGGAACGTTGACGGCACAAAATCCAGGCCCAACAGGATGTTTGGAATGTTGGCGGCACGAAATCCAGGCCCAACTTGAACGTTGGCGGCACGAAATCCAGGCCCAACAGGATTTTTGGAATGTTGGCGGCACGAAATCCAGGCCCAACTTGATGTTTGGAATGTTAAAACCCAATCCTGCCATTCAATTGGTCAAGAAATTGAGCGTGATTGTCACGAAAGTAGGGAATAGGAGGGTGCGCGGCAGACGCTGAAATTTCGCCAGAAAAGACAACAAGAATTTTAAAAGTTTGAGATTTGAAATTGATTTCTTCAAGAAATAGGAAGTTAAACCTAATTTTGATTGATCGATTTTGAAATTTTTTTTTTTTTTTGAAAACTTTTCAAGAAATAATTTTTGCCCCAGTCTCCACCGATTATTGTGCAACTGATCACTTGATTTGCATTATGGCATGGTTGCTCCTCCTTAAAACTTTGATTCACTTCTTCTTTGGTCTGAACCCCTCAGTCATATAAAAATTCTTGGGAGACATTTCTCAATTCAAAAGGTTGCCCCAGTTTCGTCCTTTGAAACGCGTTGAATCTGCAAAAGAAAGAACAAATAATGCCACCACCATTCGATCAATTCCTCCTTCAAGAAATGTGTAAACATGAGTACTTTGATGTTTTCCTCCTTGATATTTCGAAAACTCAACTTTGCTCTGTGATCTGATTAAATGCCATTGACTTCCAATGTTAATAAGGCCCTTGATATCCAGAGATTTTCGATAAATCAGGGGGATTGTCAGCCGATGAGACTAAAGAGATAAATAAGATCATGAAACTGATGAAAGAATAGTCTATTTACACAACAAAGTGACAAAAAATTTTTGTAACAATCATTTATTGAAAGAAAATTAATTTTAAAGAAATGAATCTATAATTTGACAATTTACGCTTGAAAAACCAAAGTACTCCGACTTCAAACAAATGCCACGCTTGACCCTTTAGATATCATCTGCCCTGAGTTCAATATCGGCAATAGAAAAATCATAATGCGAGGAGGAATCCCAAATGAATCAAATCACCAACTTTCTAATTCCAATCTCACTTTTCTCATGAAACTCTACCTTAGCGCCCTTCTAGGTTTTCACTAAGGCTATTCCCACTTCTTTTTCCTTCTTTTTTTCTTCTTCTTTTTTTTTATTTTTCTTTCATTTTTCATTCTTTTTGCTTTTCTTTCTTTTCTTTTTTTTCTTCTTCTTCTTCTCTTTTCCTTTTCTTTTCAAAGGTGCCCTTTCGGATTTTTACCTGATGAACAAATCTTGCAAACAACCTTTATCAACTCAAAAAATGTGTTTTAAGAAATAATGGCATCAGTGCGACAACCCTTCCCTTACAAAATGAGTGAAGGTGTATTGACATCATTTACCATGTGACTTAGAAAATTTCCTTGAAAGAGGTAATGCCAAGAACGGAAGCCAGGACTTTTTGGCTTTTGTAATGGGGTCTGGTGAGGTGCTAGGAAAGGTTAAGGCTTGAAGGCAGACTTCAAAAAGTAGTTCAAATGATCTGAGATCGCATTTTCATGTTAACCCTATTTTAGGGTTAAACCAAAACTTGTCCCAGTCTATTTTCAACTGAGATTCTTTGTTCTTTCATTTTCTCCCTTTTTCATCCATCTTTTGAAAATTTGCCCCAGTTTATGCTCAATGGAGGCTTTTCCCCTTCATTTTCTTTCTTCTTTTGATTTTTCGACCTTCTGCCTTTCTTTTGAATTTTTCACCAAATTTGCCCCAGTTTATGCTCAACTGAGGTTCTTTTTCTTCTTTTGATTTTGTTGCTGTATTGCTTTTCATTTCTTGGGACTTTTCTTTCTTTTTCAACTCAACTTTGCCCCGATGTGGGGTTTGCGATTCTCAGGGGTTGCCAAATGAAGTATTTTATTCTGAAGGCTCAAAAGGGATAACTAAGGATATAATGTCTTAATGGGAAAAGAAGAGGGCCTGACTTTCATTCCGTTCTTCGCATTAACTCTAAAAGAAAACTTTCGTTTATCAGATGAAAATTTCTTACACATCTCCGAATTGATTGGCTGAGGGAACAAGTGCTCCACTAGGCGATACCTTTTTGACGATAAGAGCACCTCAACAATTTGCGGCAAACTCTCCTTTTGGCTTCATTTTGTACTGATAAAAATCACCTTAATGCTTTGCCTTCTCGTCTGAATGGTCATGATTTGACCCTTTAGTGGTAACCACAGACCAATCCTCTTGATCATACTGACCACGATGGACTGTGTTCGACTGCTTCTTATTCCTAATCTTGATCCCGATTCGGCTTGGACTTCTTTTATTCCATTCGGGCTTCTTTGAAACATTTTCGGATGCCTCTTCCCTACTCATCTCATTTTTGAAATTCGCATTCGTATTTATGAGATCACTGCCATCAAATTTCTGAACAGTGATATCCAAAGGGTCAGGCGGTTTTTATTCTGCGCCATCTGAAAAGAATGTGTAAGTCACAATATATAAGACTGTACATTTTATTGAAAAACCAGACGTAATATCATGGAACGTGTCTTTAGCAGTCACTTGATTGAAAACTATTTACAAAAAACATATTTAAACAAAAGACACATGTATGTACGATTTTCATTTGTTTTAACAAAAACAACTCCCCAAATTTATCAAAACTTCCCTTCAAAAGGAACTTCACTAATTCAGCCATTTCCAGGATTTTCAGATTTCTTCATTGGGGTTGGATGCCTCAAAGACGTCCTTGTGTTCGGGAAAGGGATTTGTATTTATGCTCGGTCCTTGTTCACCCTTTTTCCTTAGCACTATTTCTCCGACTTCGATCATATCCTGGATTTTATGTTTCAATGCCCGACAATCGTTGGTGGAATGCCCGGGAGCTCCAGAATGATAAGTGCAGACTGTTTGAGGGTCATAGTCAGATGGAAAGCGCTTAGAATAGATCTTAGGAGGTATAACGCCAATTTTCCCGACAGCTTTCAATTGCTCATATAATTGGTCAACAGGCCGACCTAGATTGGTGAAAGTTCGGTGTGACGTTGAATTTTGGGTGTCACTGGTTTGTTGGTAGTAGTAATTTGGGCTAAGGGGTGGAATAGGTCTTGGGTTAAAAGGAGGGCGCTGTCTAGTTTTGAAATTTGGTTGAGGATTTTGAAAGGGTGGTGTGAGTAAATTTGGTCGAAGTCGAGAATGGTTAATGGTAGTATGGTGGATAGGACGGGAGTTTGGGTAGTATGGATAGGGTGATGAATAAACAAGGCGGTTTGAAAATCTAGGTCTGGCCGAGGGGCCCTGATCCCCAACAAAAGCAGTTTCCTCTTCTTTTCCTTTAAATTGGGATTTCTTCCCACTGTTATTCTGGCCTTGCAGAGCCTCTAGTTGCATCTTCAATGTTGACACATTAACAATTTTTCCGGCCTTCACAAACTCATCAAATTCTTCCAATTTATTGACAATTTCAGCAAAGGAACACCCGGTCATTCGAAAAATTTCCTCAAAGTAAGGCGGGTCATGAGCTTTGATGAACGTGCGAACAATCTCGTTTTCAATCATAGGAGGCTCCACCTTGGCGGCCAATTTCCTCCATCTCTTCGCGTACGTCTTGTGGTCCTCAGATGGTTTTCTTTTAGTCCCCTCAAGTGTGGCCCTCGTTGGAGCAAGCTCGCAATTATATTCGTACTGCCTCATAAAAGCAGTTGACAAATCTATCCAAGATCTCATATCCTCAGTCTTCAAATTGGAATACCAATCCAACGCGTCGCCTTCTAGCTCTCGGGAAATAAACGTACAGGTAAATTCTCATCATCTATCGGTTTTCCAAGTTTGTTTGCGAACATCCGAAGGTGTGTTTTGGGATTGCCAGTTCCATCGTACTTGCTAAATTTGGGTGCTTTGAAACCCATTGGCAATTGCATATCAGGAAATAGGCACAGATCGTTGTAGTCAAACCCTCCTTGTTTGTTCAAGCCTTGGCTTTCCCTTATGAACTCCTCAAACCGATCCAATCGCTTTACCAAATTCTTATCCACTGGTGCGGATGACTCCCCGGCTTCAACTTTCCCTTGAACAGCGGTATCTAGGGTGAATGGCTCAGCGGTAGAGTAATAATAAGGTCCCTGTGGCTCGAATGGCATGCTCATAGTAATTGGCGGATAATTTTGGGGAATTTGGACATGAGGAGGGTTAGTTTGGATGTAAGGTGCATGAGCAGGTTGTGGGCCATGAGTGGGATAAGTAAAGACTTCCTCAGGTGGGTTTATGACTTGTGAAGTAACAGAGGTTTGAATATAAGGTAAAAATATGGGTTGAGGTTCAGAGTGGCCAGGAGGTAGGGGCTCATGTTGTTCACCGCTAGCACCACTAGCTACCAATTGATCGATTACTCGCCGTTGGGCCATCATTCCAACACTCAGCTCATTAAATCGGTTTAGAACTTCACGCAGTTGAGCTCCCAGATTTGTCAAGTCAGTCGGTGATGTAGTTGCGGGCCTATCAGATGATTCTGGATGGGTACTCATATTTACACTATCTCTTGAAGCTCGGTTATGCGATCGGGTGATAATGGGACTTTTTCGGGTAGCTATATACTACCTGAGAGTGTAAGAAAACCCTTATTAGATACCCTTCTTGATTGACTGCTGTCAAAAAGAAAAGAAAAAGGAAAAAGGAAAAGACAGGAGTTAGCAACAATTAAAGTAATTCAGATGCATGTCCTATGGGGGAACCCTTCTTGTGCCAAGGGTAGGCCTAGAATGAAAATGCAATCCTCTGAGGTAGGCACTATACCATACCTGATGGATCTGATCAACTCATTGAGTGAAAAATAATTTGAAAAATTTGGCCCATTGGAATGAGAAGAGACGTTTGTCAAAATGAGGACTTCGTCCGAAGGGATTAATCACTTTTGATCGATACAAGATCTTGTCAAAACGCACGGGTTTGACCTTGACGAACTTCCTATCGAAGAGATTGGAATTCGTTTTGACAACTTTTCTCAGTGAAGCACGGGTCAAAACTCCAACTGATCAAATGGCTGGATGCAATGGATGTTTTTCTCAAAATCGACTAGGTTTTCCATTTTGAAATTCGACATTGAAGTCCTAAATGAAATTGACAATTTATTAAAAATCGACTGGATTACCCTAAAAAGGGAAACAGGTTAAATGAATTGAATGAAATTTAATTTATCCAAAATTAGTCAGATCACCCTAAAAAGGGTAAATTGATTAAATAGATTGAACAAAACTTGATTTATTCAAAATCGGCTCGGTTGCCCTAAAAATGGGTAAATTGGTCAAATGAATGAAATTGAATCAGCGATTTATTCAAAAATCGGCCGAACGACCCTAAAAAGGGTAAGTTGGTCAAATGAATTGACGATTTATTCAAAATCGACCAGATGACCCTAAAAAGGGTAAATTGGTCAAATGACCCTAAAAAGGGTAAATTGGTCAAATGAATTGACAATTTATTCAAAATCGACCGGATGACCCTAAAAAGGGTAAATTGGTCAAATGACCCTAAAAAGGGGTAAATTGGTCAAATGATGGTTTATTCAAAATTGATTATGAATTGACAAAATGGATCGATTGAATCGGCCGGCCATTGGTGGTTTCAGAAAATTAGTCTATGAGCCTTCTAAAATCACGATTTGGCCTCAATTTATTTATCGACTCAATAGGAGGAATCATTTGTGAATTTCTTCAAATTAATGTCCTTCACGCAAGGGATTTTTACCAATTTTTGAAAAAATGGCCAAAAAGTGATTATTAGATGCTCATATTCCAAAGATCACTCTATGAAAATGATCGGATCCTACCTTACCTTGTGCACTACCCCTTTGGATGGTACAAAATGTAAACGTGCAAGTCTCGTTGGATTAAGTATCCGAGACACAAGGTGGCTTATTCCTAACACGGGATCCCCTAAATGGCATTCCCTTTCTAGGGTTTATGCATGATGCCATTTATTAAAGCAACGTAAATATGCAACAAATATGGCCTAAAGGGCATAAATAATGCATCGGGGGGAAGAGGTCTAAAATGAAATGTACTTATTAAAAATTAAGCATAATGACTGAAATTTAAACATGTGAGCTATCTAGTGGGTAAGTCACTAAAAGAGTGCCAAAGAGGTCTCTTATTGCTAAGGCACATGAATGCAAGCCAAGAAAACAAAAGAATGGTTAGTGCAATTGAAAGTACACATAACACATTGGGAGCAATTAAGAAAAGAAATACAAATAAAAACAAGTAAAAGGGGTGGAACCCCTTCCCTCGTGCCTAATGTGCTTAATAGGGTAAGGTCGACTCTACCCTAGGCGAGTCTAACATGGATGCATGAGGCTGGGGCTCACTAATGCAACTAGACTCGATAAGGCTTCGGCTCCCAAGCCTTCAGACCTAAAGGCAAAGGGTCATCACTCCCAAGGCCTTCGATCGGTGGCTCGAGTGATCCCTTAGGTAGCGCTATGGGCGCAGCGCACACCATCTGCCTATCCAAGGCGATCGATCCTAATCCTACAAGGCGGTGTGGGAAACGCCCACGAAAATAAAATAAAATGGGATAACAATAAGTAAACGTGCACGTATGAAGTGTTCCCTATTTTGAGGGAAGGGGTTGAGAACCACGCGAGGCTCTAAAGGTAACACACACCCCCCCAAATGCAATGCAAGCGCGAGATAAGCAAGTAAACATACATTCAATCAACCAATCATACATTCGCGAGCGAGGGAGTAGTTGGACACGCGTGAAATGCAAAAATCCTAATAAAAGGAAAAATGCAATCCTAAACACCCAAATGTGATATATGAAAAGATTAAAAGAAGAAAAAAATTGATTAAATCAAATTTGCTCGGACTCTCGAATATCCCCAGTGGAGTCGCCAACTGTCGCGCCCCATTTTTTGATAAATAAATAAATGGTTTGAAAATGTGTTTTTTTTTATTCAATTTTGTGTTTGAAAAATGAATTGTGATTTAAAAGAAAAGTGGGTCTAAATGGGGGTTTGAAAATACGACGACTTGATCCAAAATTATAGTTTAAAAAGGGTTTTTGAAAAAATGGGAGTCGCCACTTGGTAATGAGTTAAGGTGTACCAAGTCACCTAAAAATGAGTTTTTTAGGAAAAAATTGTAAGAAACCCCTTTTAAATGACTCCTAGTCCACGTAAACCAATGAAAAAGGTTCGGGAGTCACATTTGACGAAGGGGAAGGCAAGGATAAAAATCCAAGGCACCCCTTCGACCTAACCAAGGCTAGTTGCATGATTTAATCAAAGTTTTTCTTATTTTAACCAAAGAATTTATTACATTTGGATGCACTACATGAATGCAAAAGAAAAGAAAAAATGTATATCTAAATTCTAAAATGTCTCTTGTAAGGTTTTTGGTCCCAACCACATGAATTGTGGCGGCCAATAAAGGAAAACCTTATAGAGGTCGATTAATGCAAATGATGGCTAAAGTGCAAGTGTGCAAGTGTATAAAAAGGTGCACGTGTGAAATTGTAAAAAATCCAAGTGTTTGTGTGCCAGTGTATGGAAAGGTGCATGTGTGAATTTGTATGAAAAATCCAAGTGTTTGTGTGCAAGTGTATAAAATATAGTGAAAAGTGCATATAGGTGTAATTAAGTGCAATTTTGTGAAGTAGAAATCAAAATGAACAATAAGGAAAGGAAAAGTGATGAGGAAATGTGAATTGAAAAAAATGAGTAAGTGATAAATGAGAATGAATGAACCTAAAGGAATGCATCAGGTCGGGTGTGGGAATGACTTCTAACTTTTTCGACTTCGATTTTCCCTTTGATTAGAAAGCAAAACTAGCGTGCTAAGGCTATCGAGTAGCCACACTCGCTCGTTTCCCTTATCAGAAGGGGACTCTTCAGGCAAATGTACCCTAACTAGCATGAGATGCAAGACCTAAAGTGAGGGGAAAGGGGCTTAGAGGGACATGCCAAATGATAGAAAAACTAAAAGAATGCATGATATGTAATGAACATGCAAACATGTACTAACGAGGGGAAATCCCTAAGGGTCTAGCGTTGGACTAGCCCATTCTATGAATTCCGACTAGCGTTGGACTAGTGGAAACGTTCATTCATCCATCACATTCATTCAAGCTATGGAAAGCGAGTAGACATGTCAAACACTTATAAACACATAGCACATAACATTTAGCATGCTCGACTAGATGCAAGGCCCTAAAAAGCAAATTAACACGTAGTAACTAAGCATGCAAGACACATAAGACAATTAAATCCCTAACTATTACATTTGCTAGCTAGGCACATAACTTCGACAGGTCTTCATCGAATGCTCCTCCAAGCCCTATCTATTACAAGCCAAGAGGTGTACACATACCCCATAAAGAATAACTTAATGAAAATAAAAGTAAATGACATAAGTAAAAGGAATTAAGGAAAAACTAGGAAAGCAAAGTAGGCATGCAATTCACTTAACACGTTGGGTCACATAGGAGAGAAACAAAAGGGATAAAAGAAATTATACCGCCCCTTTGAATGGTGTCCAAATGAAAGAAAAATGGCTTCAAAACAATAAAAAGGTCAAGGTACCTCAAATAGTAAAGTATAACAAAGTCACAAAATCTCTCCTAATTACAATTTAAATGAAATCAAATAATGCATAAGTTTCAAGAAAAGGACCCACCAAGGACCCAATTACCAACTAAAGACCCAATTGCAAACCTTAGTCAACCATTCGAATTCAATCGAAACATTTAAGCACTCCAAAGGTCTCAAGAGCCAAGAAAAGGTCAAACAACCAATTTATTTAGGGAAATTAAAAAATAGGCAAACACGAGCTCATTCGGTCATAAAACCCCTAAAGTCATGACTTAAGTGCAATTGACAAAGCATGGTAGTTAACTGAAACAAAACAAGCCATGAAGTTGCACAAATTAAAATTGCCAAGGACCAAATTGATGAAATTATTTAATTGATTGGGTTCTAGTGGAACAAGGAGAGACTTGGGGGGCCAAAGTGCAAATTTTTGAAAGTTCCATGCATGCAAATCACGTAGAAGAAGAATTTCTGCAACAAACAATTTCTGCAATGCCAAACCAGCTGCACTTCCTCATAATTTGTGACTCTAACAAGCAAAATCATTCCAATCTTCTAGCATAACTTGCCAACATCAACTCAGTCAGCTAGTGTTTGTTAAACAGAAATTCTGGAGCAAAAATGTGCAAAGAAAGAAAAGAAAACAACGAGAGGATGGGGAAACATTTCTGCAATAGCGGACCGGCCAAGCTGACTGCAATTTTCCATTCCAATCAAACTCATTGACATGGAACAACTCTAACCAAGACTAACACCCAATCATCAACCAAACCAAATACTCCATCTTTATCGCAGAATCAAGGCAGAAAAAACTGGAATGATAACTGTTGGGAAAATAAGAAGCAAAACAAAACAAAATGCAGCAAGAATTTTTCTTTGCAATCTAAGATGATTAATAAACCATGCAGCAACTTCCCTTCCGCAACTACATATCGACTT